TCAAGGGAAATACAAGTGCATAATGCTTTGATACAGCTGCTTCACCTCAAAGGTTATCTGGTTCAGTGCCAGGGGAATGCTTCGTACTTGCTGCTGAGGAGTCAGTGGGGAGTTACTGTTCTAGCATTCTGTTTCCTCTTCAGTATGTCCTAGAAACCATCCCTGACCTTGCTTTCCAAAGATAAGTGTTGAAAATTGCTTTGACATGGATGGTTTGGGGCTGAGCTCTTGTTGCGTCCATAGTCCTCAGCCCCAAGAGGCTACTGTATATCTGTTTCTGAAAAAAGATTCTGAAAGTATTTCTCTGCGTCAAAGTCCTAGAAATTGAGCCCAGGAAAACTGACCACTTTGGGGAGGCAGTTGTATTTGTTGGTCACCCTTCAAATGAAGATTTCTGATTACTGAAAGATGACACACATTCACCTTCCTGTTCCAAAACCAACTTCTCTCCCTCTTTAATCAACTCTCCCAGAAGGAAAGGAGACCAACCAATTGTGCTTGATGGGCAAAGAGTAACCATAAATACTCTTCAAGCAATGCATAGTGCCTTTAGGACCTCAGCATGCTCTTGGACTACAGCTGTCTCCCTGAAAAGGAGCTAAAGGATCCAGACCTTAAAGATAACTAAGATAAGTTGGTGGATTTGCCTTTTTAGGACCACAATCTATTTAGTAACAAGGCAGATGATTGTTGCTGCCTGGTCGGGGAAGTGGGGAAATATCAGACCAGTGATTCTGGAAGCTACTCCAAAGGGTTTTCTTTATTCAGTTCCACTACACGTTATTGCTATACATTCTTTTTCAATCCATTTTCAGGCATCACTCACAAGACTATGAAGGCTTAAATTGTTTTCCTCTTCCAACTTGAAGCAATAGAGAAGGTCCCTCTGTAGTGCAAAGGAAGGTTATTTACGTTATTTCCTTTTTTTTAAAAAAGAAAAGCCTGCATCCCATATAGGCTCTCAAAAAATTGAACAAGTGCATAAAAAATCAAATGTAATGGTAATATTAGCGTCTGTAATCTGTTCACTAAAGGGATCCTAACTTGACAATCATATTTAAACAACCTTTTACCTCACTATTTCATAAGGTGTTTGTTTTCAGTTTGGGTTAGTCTTTCTCCAGTGTTTTGTAACTCTTCATATGCCAATTCCTATGCAGATTGGGTTTGTTTAGACATCTTGTTGCTTCCTGTTCAAAATCACTCTGATATAAATATTCACAATAGGGACCAGTTCTGTGTAAACTATCACCATCAAAATTGAAGACATATTGAAATAGCACATATTTAGTGTGTATTTTTCTTTTAAATAACACACTAATGATAATTTTAACTTGTATAACAAAAGCTGATGTTTTTACTGTTACCAAAATATCCTCAAATCTAGAATGTCAAGTTTATCCACAGCAATATTTTACTTGGAGAAATTAAATGGTGGTATGGTTGAGCGGTTTTGGGATGAGGAAGCTTCTGTTGTGATGAAGTGGACATGCCTGCTACGTTAAATTTGTCCATCCGGAAAGAACAGTTCTGGGAAAGGATTTATCGTTAGTTGTTGTACAAAGTTAACTTTCTAAATTCCAGATAGCCTTTAAAATCCAAAAATCTTCTACGTGTAAACCAGAAGGTTACCATTTATCTCGCTGTATAACAACAGATGTGCAGTATACTTTATATAATTGAAGGAACAATTTTTGAAGAATATCTACTGTTCCAAACCTCTGCAGAACTTTCAATTTTATTATTTTCTTCTCTTGCTTTGTTTTACTGGGTCATCTTCCCAGTCTGTCTTTTTACATATTCCCTTTTCCTTCTTTGCTAAGAAACCAGTCTTGTGACAGTCTTTAAACTTTCTTAACCTTGGATTTAAAACACCTAGTTTCGGGTCTATACTAAAGTTGCACTAAAAGACTGTTTAGGCCAGGGGTCGGCAACGTTTGGCACGCGGCTCGCCAGGGCAAGCACCCTAGCGGGCCGGGCCAGTTTATTTACCTGCTGACGCGGCAGGTTCGGCCGATCGCAGCCCCCACTGGCCACGGTTCGCCGTCCTGGGCCAATGGGGGCGGCGGGAAGCCGCGGCCAGCACATCCCTCGCCCGTGACACTTCCCACCGCCCCCATTGGCCCGGGACGGCGAACCGTGGCAAGTGGGGGCCGCGATCGGCCGAACCTGCCGCGTCAGCAGGTAAATAAACTGGCCCGGCCCACTAGGGTGCTTACCCTGGCGAGCCGCGTGCCAAACGTTGCCAACCCCTGGTTTAGGCTAATGCTCTGAAACTTTTAACTAAAGGAGTTTACAATAATTTAAAATTTCCTTGCATTCCACCTGAAGAAAGAATGGACGGCAGTGGATCTGAAGAACTTTATTACCTGCCATTCTTGTCAGCAGCTGAAAGCTGCTGCCTAGGAAAACGACAAAGATTAGGGGGAAAAGGAATGAAGTAGCTGGATCACAACTCAATCTGACTTTTTTTTTTTGCTTCCTTTTTTTGTCTTTCTGTAAAAATGGTCAGTCAACACACAGCACTGAGAGCACACTACTGTGTCAGTCCCATAGAGAGGGAAGGGCTAAAGATCTACTCCCCAGGCTGGCACAATAGATTAAAACGTGCTATCTATATAATCATATTCCAAGGGTGTCGCTCTAAAGTATAGAATGTCTGAGTCAGTTTGAAATGATGGAAACAGCTTCCAACATGGTTGAGATCTCCTTTTGTTTAGGATATCACCAGGTTGAATAATCACTGGGATTCACTGTCTGTAACTGTCCAGTTTTCAAGTTCTAAGCCGTTTTGCCTTTACGAATTACACCTGGGCAACAGCACAGGCTTTCAGCGACTAGTTATGTCATAGAGGCTCAACCCACGCACTGATGTAGTGGTGGTTACCTTGAAATGTAGGGGGAAATTATAAAGAAATTGTTGCACTCTTCATGATGCTAACAGTAACACCACTTTGGAGATTGGAAAATTGTTTCTTTAAAAAAAAAAAAAAAACAAAAAAAAACACTCTGAAGTGTTTCGGCCTGGGGAAGTTTTTAGGTGATCTGGAGGATTTGTTAGTTTTTATTTGGTGATTCTGTTGATGTGACTTTTACATTTTTTATGGCATCAAGAGAGCCTTCATGGTGTAACTGAAAAGTGCAAATCCAGTAAACAAAAATTCACCTACAAATACCACAAACTCAAGTAAACTTTTTTCTTTTCTGTTTTTTATTCTGACCTACTTAAAGGATAGCATTGAATTTTAGTGAAGTTGCAACATTAAGGCAAGTGTAAAGTTGGAATTGTTTGGCTCATTTGTAGAAAAATCCTAGGGGATTAACTCAACCTCTTTACATGTTGTATCTCAGTGAAAGGTGCAGGATTGAAGTCCTCTTGGGGACCAAAATCCTTTATCCGTATGACATTCTTAACATGGATGGCAACAGTACAGACATCCATCCCTATGTTGTTTTGCCATTGCCTCAGCCCAGCTGTGGAAGGACCACCTTGAGGGGTGTGGTGGTAATAATGTGTCTTTGCCATTCATTCCTTAATGTTGCTGCTAAATCTATCAGATGGTGCCAGTTGTGACTGGAGGAAATTGAGATGGACTTTGGGTTCACTGGGATTGTTGATTGCATAATAGGCCACTATGGGGAAAAACTTTGTCACTACTAAATTGGGCTGGTTTTGAATCTGTAACCTAGAGATGAAAGCTATTGTATTCAGTTGCCAAATTATTGAGCTGTCCAATACACAAATTCTTTTTATTTGCTCAGTTTATTTCTCTATTGCCTTATATCCTGTTGACTTGTTTTTCAGCTACTGACCTTTCTTCATGGGACTAATTGAATAAAGGGTAAATTCTCCTTTACTGTAGCTAACAGCTATACTGTAACCACTTACCTGAATAAATTTACCTATAATGGGCTTCAATCATTTTTGAGTTGTTAATTACACAACTCTAGCATACATAGACCCGTATATCTTTGCACTTGTGTGTGCAGAAGCATTAGTACACAAATACTGAGAACATATTTCCTTAAATAATAATTTAAGGAAAGTTGTCTTGTTTTCAGGATTCAACTGAAACTTTTTTCTTCACAGTTATGACTGTTTGAATTAGAGAAGAAAAGTGTGCAGCTTGCTAGCATCCACAAGATTGCATGCTTACCTGACCCTCTTGAGTCTACAAAACTGAGGTGGAAATTTTCTGAAAGCAAGATCTCGCATGATTCTAGCACTTCAGTATTTAAACTTGTTACTTAACAGCCTTGCTTGTGATATTTTGGGCTGTTCTGGTCTCAAGCTAGAACTGGAAGTAAAAATAACAATTATGAATACTTCCAAACTTCAAAAAAAGGTTTGGCTAGAGTTCTGGTTCTAAAGCTGGATGAAGACTTGAGGTGAGATAGAGTGGAAACGCTGTTCTTACCTTAGCCAAATAGCTTTCCTTATGTCAAACTTAAATTCATTTTGAAAAGACTGAAATGTTCTAGATGCCAGTTTTTCAGGAATTTTTCACTCTTCATTCTTAAAGAGCTTATTCCAGGGGTCGGCAATCTTTCAGAAGTGGTGTGCCGAGTCTTCATTTATTCACTCTAATTTAAGGTTTTGCATGCCAGTAATACATTTTAACATTTTTAGAAGGTCTCTTTCTATAATATGACTATAATATGTAACTAAACTATTGTTGTATGTAAAGTAAATAAGATTTTTAAAATGTTTAAGAAGCTTCATTTAAAATTAAATTAAAATGCAGAGCCCCCCGGACCGGTGGCCAGGACCCGGGCAGTGTGAGTGCCACTGAAAATCCGCTCGCGTGCTGCCTTTGGCATGTGTGCCATAGGTTGCCTACCCCTGGCTTATTCCATCATATGTAATGATTTTCTGTAGGAATGTGTGTTACCGTAGTTAATACAAAACAGGATAAAGGCTTTTCAGTTTCATTCTAAGGAGGATTTTATGGCATGCAGTTTAATACACCTCACTATGTCAAATGTATTTATCCATTTAGGTTCAGACAAAGAAAGAAGAACCTTTGCCGCCATCACTGAGCCAAACCATTCCAACATTTTATTTTCCCCGAGGATGTCCAAAAGAAAAAGTGAATATAGATGTAGTGATTGCCAAAATAGAGAGAACTTTCTCTCAGTTTCCAAATGAGAGAGCAAGACTAGAAGACATGGGCAAAGTTGCAAAGGTGAGGATTTACTGGGTGTCTAATTCCAGTATACTAACCTACAAAAAGGAAACAAATGATTGGTTTTCCTATGTTATCTGTTGTGTGATATGAATAAACTTCCAAAAAGTTAAGTAGACCATACCAGTCAAATTTAAGTTAATATGGGGCCTGATCCATAGCCCATTAAAGTCAATGGGAGTCTTTACATTAACCTTAGTGGGTTTTGGGGAGAGCCCATAAATGTCAACATCAGAAACTCAAGCAACCAAATTCTCTGAGTTATATGTTGTGCAGTCCCAGAGATGTCAGTGGGATAGCGTTGTCTCAGTGCAAAATTTGGCCGTGTGCCTTCACAGTAATCAATTGTACTACTGCAGATGTTTTAAGTGCATTGCTGTTGGTTTACTTACACGGTGCAAGATTAGAATTTTGAGTTATCACTCCAAATATGTCTATGTAGAACTCTACAATTAAACCAGTTACTCATCTAAAAACAAAGAAACTAGATAACTTTCTCACCTTAGACAGGAAAAAGTCATGGACTTGCATTATTAAACCTTCAAATCCAGAATGGCTTTGTTTTTTTTGGAGGGTTTTTTCTTAGTCCTTCCGTAGTCACTAGATTTATTGCCATGTCAAAATATGGGGTTTATCAATCTAAAAAGACTGACTTGTTTTGCTTTTGTATAACATACATAGCAAATTGGGTTGGAGGAATTTAATATTTGTCTCCTTATAATATTGAAGCGATAAATATTTTGTTTTCAAGGGAGCTGTATTGATCACTTCGTATATCTTTCCATAGTAGTCTAGGGCTAACACTGGAACATATATACACTAACTGTAATTGCTTATAGTAAACATATGCTTGACTTCATATGTGAATCTCCCATTTCTTTAGAAGCACAAGTGGAAAAATGTTTCCCAACTGTGGGGGGAAAAAGAATAAATGGAAATGACTTTCCCCTTAATTTCTTTTATTTACTGTGAAAGTCTACCTTGTTGTGCAGTACAGTAGAGACTAAAGCTGTTGGTCAAATTAAAGGTTACCAGTCAATAAACCAAATCTTCCAGGAATTGCCTTAAATACTTATGTTCACTGTAGTTCCGTAAGAGTGTGTGCAACGAAACAAGTGTCTGTCCTGTTCTCCCATAATGCTGCCTTACAACTACACTAGCAAGGTTTCATTTTATGCTAGTGTTTTGAGAGGGAGTAACACTCAGATAAGTAATCAATAAACTGACTGTCTGCATTGTTCTACAACTTAATTCCAGGCCTGTGAATGCCCACTTTACTGGAAAGGTCCCTTGTTTTATTGTGCTGGAGGAGAACGAACAGGATGCGTCTCAGTTCATAAATTTGTTGCAATGTGGCGGAAGTAAGTAGGTTGCTTTTTGAGGTACTGTATTTCTTAATTTAAATGTAATATTTTAAGCTATGAATGTGATCCAGCCTGCAAACAAAACCAAACCCCTTTATGTAGTCCAACACAGAGTGGACTTGATAAAAAAATTAATGTGTACAGTTTAAAATCTTGATATTTGCTGTGTGAAGATATATAATGTGGTGTGGTTAATGACAAGTTCCTAGTGGCCCCAACTGTGTAAGGTTTTGAGAAGTGTGGTCCTAATTTGCAGGAATATGTCAACGGTTGTGGGCAGATACTTCTCCTTCCTAGCCCTTTCTATTCTCACTGATTCCAGAGAAAGAACTATGGTCTTGATTTCAAACTGTCCTCTCATTTGACTACTCCACTGCTGGGAACAGGTACACTATAGATAATTTAATGTAAATTATGCCTAAAGTCTAGTATGAGAGGAAGCAATACGGGATTATTGGCCAGTGCAATGCTTAGAGCTGTGTAAGATCACTAGTAGGTAGAAGAAATTGTGACCACATGCCTGCCTTTATATTATGGTAACTAATTCTTTAGGTGCTCACGTTACATCAGTGAGTTGGGATAGACTGCAGCTTTTTTCATAAGTCCTGCTGTAGAACTTCCTAACACAAGTATGAGCATTTTTCCTCTCTGAATGGAGTAGAAAAGTATTATGATGCAAATTCATTTTATATTTGCATTTCAGAATACTACAGACCTGCCATGATGATGCGGCAAAGTTTGTTCATCTTCTGATGAACCCTGGATGCAACTACTTGGTGCAAGAAGACTTCATTCCATTTTTACAAGTAGATAGCAATTTAAATTAATCATGACCTCTTTGTATCTTCCAAAGCTAAACAAAAGAATAGATGTACCAGAGCAACTTTAATTTCCTAACTGATAGATGCAACGAGGAGTCCTTGTGGCACCTTAGAGACTAACAAATTTATTTGGGCATAAGCTTTCCACTCACTTCATCAGATGCATAGAGTGGAAAATACAGTAAGCAGGTATAAATATACAGCACATGAAAAGATGGGAGTTGCCTTACCAAGTGGGGGGGCGGGGTCAATGCTAACGAGACCAATTCAATTAGGGTGGATGTAGTCCATGCCCAACAGTTGACAAGAAAGGGTGAATATCAACAGAGGGAAAATTATTTTTTGTAGTGCTAACGAGGCCAATTCAATCAAAGTGGATTGAAAAATTTACTGATACAGACTAACACAGCTACCCCTCTGAAACCTAACTAATAGAGTAATTCTAGTAAAGAGAATGAATAAGAAGATTACTGATATTTAGTGCATTCAACTCGTGTGGTCAACTGACCTACTAATGAATTTAAATTGTTACAAGTCATTTTACAGTCACAAATATTTATAACCTACTTTTATGTAGGGAAGAAGTTGAAAAGAAAAAACCCTACACATCCTACAGTAGCTCTTAATTGATGTTTGATTTTGACTGACTAATGTGTCAGAACCTATTTAGCCTTAAGAATGACAACTCGTGATTGACATAGTAGTGCTAAGGATGTGCTCAGGTTTCTGGGAAGTTATTGGAGAGGGGAAAGAAGAAAAATGGCAGTTGAATCTCTTTTTGGACTGTCACAGGTCTTAGTGTATTGCTAATGAATGACGAAAAGCAAACTTGCCTGTTGGACTACCACGTGGTTTTATAGAGTTTCTTCATTTATAATGGGAAAGCATCTGTAATTTTTCAGTAATGCTGTTTCTTACTAGTTACATGTATCAAGCCCCATCGACACCAGGAAAATGTTTTTTGTTTTGTTTTTTCTTCCCCTGTCCGGAACACATAATTTGCACACTTCTGCCTATTGTTTCTGAAATCTCCCTATTACAGTTAAGAAAGCTCATGTTAAATGGCTTTTAAAAGCCGGATTATTTTGAAAACATACATCACCATGGGATGTTTACATGAGGCACTCTACAAATGAAGTTATATTTAATAATGGTTGCTTTGCTTAGCAATTGAATTTGGAATGGCTCTTTCAAGGAATTGGAGGTAGTATTCTGCATTAATGAGTTGATACCCAGGGTGAGAATGGGTACCAATTGGCACTCCATTTCTTCCCCTCTCTTTATAGGATGTGGTGAATAGTCATCCTGGCCTATCATTTTTAAAAGAAGCATCCGAATTTCATTCTCGTTACATTACCACAGTAAGTGCTTTATTTAGAAAAATTACTTTGTTTATACAATTTAACTGTTAATTAATAGGTCAATTGAAATATGTAAAACCATCCTTTTCGCAATGGATTTATCTCCAGAGACAAGTATTCTGCTGATCTCAACTTTCCAGGCTTCTAGTGCATGATACTGAGTATATTCAAATCTTCAGGAGACACGGTAGTGGGAGGAAGAGCATCTGTCATTGCAACTGATAGTTGTAAGGTTTCTCTATACTTTAGGGTGTTAGAAGAGCTTACTGAATAACAGTTGAAATGAGGAATATTGAATGGAGGTGGTTTGTGTGGAACATGTTTATGTATTTCTACTGAAGAGCAAATTACTTAGTTAACTTGGATGCTTATTTGGGTGTGGTTTTCAATGTATGGCTGGTTAGAATACTGACCCTGGTTTGGACTTCATAATGAAAAAAGCCTAAAAGTTTAAAATGACTTCTGCTTTATTTCAAGTTCAGATTTATCAAGTAGATAATATATAAGCTCTCCACAATATTATGGAATTGTAAAGAGATCATGATAGAATTTAAACCTTTTTTTTTAGCTACTTGCACCTTCCCAGTTCAAGGATTTTCCTTTAATTGAAAATTGTACACATGAAAAGTTCCAGATCTGCAGCTCTAGGCTCCTGTGACTAAAGTTATCTTTCTGTCCACAAACTGCTATATGAATAGCAGTTAACTGTTCTATCAATTTCCCTCAACTACTGATCTGGTCTTGACAAACTCTAGAGATTATGTTGCTTCAGACTCTGTGCTCATTCGGTCCTTCAATCTTCAGAGTCTGAGATCCCGCCAAAGGGCATTCCATTTAAAAAAAATAAAAATTCAGCAAGCATCAGTGACTGGGTTTAACAAGCATCCTCTGGGAACTAAATTAAGGCCATTAATTCAGTATACATAAGCTACAGTTGGCTGTAACACAAATTTAATCTGGAAGTCTTTCTTTTGAGACATTAACTTTGGTTCTGCACCTTTCATACTCTAGTCCAGAGTTGAAGGTCTTCAGGTTCATCCTCCCCACTCCAATAGACATTGCCAACAGACCAATAGTAGTATTGCCAGCCCCAAGAGTTCAAAAATCATGGATCAACCCCAAAAATAATGATTGGCCTAAAAATTAAGATCTTCTTTAAGAAGATTAAATTGCGGTGTTTAGTCTACTCTGATTTTTGAACCCCACTGCCTACTTGCAGTGTGTTTTTAGAAGCACAGTAGTGCAAACTCTTGCATATTTAGCAAAAGTAAGACAACTTTGTCCCCATTTACTCTTGGCTTTATGCAGTTTTGGAGCAGGTGGTGGTGTTCCACTCCCTAGCTCTTGCCTTCTCAGTCCAAGACAGCCACCTGCTCCCTTAACTGCCAAAATTTGCACAGCTCCGTGTGTGACATTTCTCATCAATGTGAAAAAGTCAATCTCCCCAATATGGTCCCCTGCCACTACTTGGGAACGTGGACGGGAGACATCATGTGGGTGACATTAGTGACTTTCTCACCAACAAGGAAGGGTTGCACCTGGGGCTTCATGAAACTTTACTTCTCTCTCAAAAGATAGCTGCTACTATTATCCTCTTCCTCCCCCACACCCTCCAAAAGTCAGTTGGTGCCCCCCCTACCTTGTGTGCCTGCTGCTGCTCCTGTTCTCTCCTGCAGTCAGCTCTCAGGATTGGAGGATGTAGGGGAATATGCTGAAATCTTAATACCATACCCCCACCCTCTAACTCCTGGTCAGGAGAAGCCCTGCGGAAAGGCAGTGTGGAGGTGCTGTTGGGGGTTGAGCAATGAGGGCCAGTACTGCTTCAAGCTGCTGAGAGAGGAAGTGTGTAGCCATTGCAGACCTGGTATATCAAAATGCCTCAACAAAACAATGTGCTGCCCCCCAGAGCAGCAGGGGATGGGGGGGGTAGAAGGCTCAGATTTATCTGCATAGTAGTGGGGTGAAGTGGGAGGGGGCGTGAGGGCTCAGCTTTACCCTTCATAAGATGAGGTGGCAGGACGGAAGAAGATGAGGTGGCAGGACGGGGGGGGAGAAAGGGATTCCCCGCCAGTTGACACCTAATGTATAGGAGGCAGGGGCCTTAAGGCAGGTCCCTGGCGAAAGCCTTTTCTCAGTGCTGTGGTGGGTGGGTGTTCCCCTTGTCCATAATGGTTTACCTTCAGAGGGATAGCCTGCTCCGGTGGTTGAGCGTTCTACTTCTGAGCCAGCTTATGCAGTCTAGCATGAGGAAAGAACCGCCCCCGTGGTAGCCTGCCAAAAAAGATGGGGATGCAGGTCAGTCAGTCACCTCCAGAAGCCTGCAGCAGGGAGGGGTGGATCAAAACAATCAGGTCCCCACAAGAAGGCTGCCAAGGTGGGTGAGTGGCAAGAAGAGCTTGGAGGATGGTGCAGTGGGGAGTTGGTGCAGGCATCTGCTCCCAAGTGTCACAAGGCGAGGAACTCTTCATGTCATCACAAGAGCTCCTCCAACAGGTGGCAAAGTTGTGGGCCTCACAATAAATTAATGAGAGTTGATGACACTATAATTGTTTGCTGGGTTTTTCTTGCTAAGAGCTGATGATACTAGTTTTTGCCTCTTACCAGTGAGGCCATAGCAATTCCTAGATGAATTATTTCTCAAAAGATATGGTGGAAGCAAGGGGAGAAAGAAGGAAATATGTCAACTGTGGGGATCTTTCTTAAGTAACTGTATTGGAGCCTGGTTTGTCTGAATTGTGGAAAAACTGCTGTTCCTTCTGAGGGCTGCAGCAGCTAAATCCTCTCATCCCCCAATCCTTTCTTTAGCCGAGGAACATATTTACTTAGGGAGGCCTGGGTTGAAATAACATTTGACAAATTCATCTTAGCAGTTGGCCAGTAGGGATAGCTAATGAAATTTCCACTACTTACTTTTGCCCCTAAAAGAACTTCTCATAGAAAAGAAGCCCAAACTGCTATGAACATTCTCTCTGAAAAGGGAACTGTAACACCAGTCCACTAATTAAAGAATTTCAAGAAAACTGTCTACACTGTTGTCCCTCTTTAGAAGAAAGAGCATCTGCTGACCACTACAGATTTCTAAAGAAATTAAGCCCTGTAATTATCTGAATGATAATAAATAGATCAGTTGATCTCCCTTTTAGTTAAGTATTGTATTTAAGTGTATTCTGACTGGGAGTTGTTTAGGAAACTTCGTGAAGCTTTAGTGATCCTACTGCTGGGTGGAAGCTGTGTCTGGAGGATGTTGTCTTCACGTAATTAAAGTTGTAGGTTAGAGTTTTTAGTGGGTTCTCTCACCAATTTACTATTAAATATTGAAATCTAATTGCTGCTGCACTTCCACTTCTGGGTAAGATGCCACCCGAGCAGTACCTCAGAGGGAGGCAGACCCAGCTGCTGGCCAGAGGTTTAAAATAATTGCCCTCAGTCTAGGAGTAAGGTCTGATACATAATTTTTAGGCTAATATAAAGCTAATCTGTAGAAACAGTATTTGTAGTGATACAAGAGTTGTGTAGGCAACTTCCATAGGAATTAAACATATCTCTAGAATTTCAAGTGTCATGTTTATTTTGCACAATTTTTCCTTCCCACAATCAAAAAAAAAAAAATGTACAGCAGCAAGTGACTTTTTGAGCATAGTACATGAAACAAGTCTCAAACTATTTACTCATTCTCTGCTCTGGTTTGTTTTAGAGACCCAAATTTTAAGACTTGTCCAGTTGTCTCTAGCAAACATTCAATTTGGGGGTTTTTTTTAGACCAGTTATCATAGAATCATAGAATATCAGGGTTGGAAGGGACCTCAGGAGGTCATCTAGTCCAACCCCCTGCTCAAAGCAGGACCAATTTCCAACTAAATCATCTCAGCCAGGGCTTTGTCAAGCTGGGCCTTAAAAACCTCCAAGGAAGGAGATTCCACCACCTCCCTAGGTAACGCATTCCAGTGCTTCACCACCCTCCTAGTGAAATAGTGTTTCCTAATATCCAACCTAGACCTCCCCCACTGCAACTTGAGACCATTGCTCCTTGTTCTGTCATCTGCCACCACTGAGAACAGCAGAGCTCCATCCTCTTTGGAACCCCCCTTCAGGTAGTTGAAGACTGCTATCAAATTCCCCCTCAATCTTCTCTTCTGCGACTAAATAAGCCCAGTTCCCTCAGCCTCTCCTCATAAGTCATGTGCTCCAGCCCCCTAATCATTTTTGTTGCCCTCCGCTGGACTCTTTCCAATTTTTCCACATCCTTCTTGTAGTGTGGGGCCCAAAACTGGACACAATACTCCAGATGAGGCCTCACCAATGTCTAATAAAGGGGAACGATCACGTCCCTCGATCTGCTGGCAGTGCCCCTACTTATACAGCGCAAAATGCCGTTAGCCTTCTTGGCAACAAGAGCACACTGTTGACTCATATCCAGCTTCTCGTCCACTGTGACCCCTAGGTCCTTTTCTGCAGAACTGCTACCTAGCCATACGGTCCCTAGTCTGTAGCAGTGCATAGGATTCTTCCGTCCTAAGTGCAGGACTCTGCACTTGTCCTTGCTGAACCTCATCAGGTTTTTTTTGGCCCAATCCTCTAATTTGTCTAGGTCCCTCTGTATCCGATCCCTAGCCTCCAGTGTATCTGCCTCGCCTCCCAGTTTAGTGTCATCTGCAAACTTGCTGAGAGTGCAGTCCCACACCATCCTCCAGGTCATTAATAAAGATATTAAACAAAACCGGCCCCAGGACCAACCCTTGGGGCACTCCGCTTGAAACCGGCTGCCAATTAGACATGGAGCCATTGATCACTACCCGTTGAGCTCGACGATCTAGCCAGCTTTCTATCCACCTTACAGTCCGTTCATCCAGCCCATACTTCTTTAACTTGGCGGCAAGAATACTGTGGGAGACCGTATCAAAAGCTTTGCTAAAGTCAAGGAATAACACATCCACTGCTTTCCCCTCATCCACAGAGCCAGTTATCTCATCATAGAAGACAATTAGGTTAGATGTGTAACAGATGAGGTAATGATGTCCAGATGGATTAAACTGCAAAGCTAAGGCAAAACTTTGGTAGAAAAAAATTGCTTTGTAGTTTAAGCCAAAAATGGGCTGTCCCTAAACACACAATTAAGTCTGAACTAATTAAGTTTCAGAAGTAAGATAGGCCATTCCCCTTCCTAGGCTTATCAAACCAGCTGTTCCTATTCAAAGTAAGAGCAGCAGAGCTTGCTGTGTGCTGCAGCTTTATCTATCTATCTATCTATGTATATATGTGTATATATATAATATGTATGTAAAATTTCATGATTAAAATATCAGTAACTCCCTTAATACCCTTTACTCATAACGCAAAGCCAATTTCATTTTGATATGGAAGTATGATGGACTGTTTCATAGGGTTTTTTGACATCCCTTTATTTTAGTAACAGATGGATTTATAACTTGGAACTTCGAGTTTCATTGCCAGATAGGTAATGTTTTTAATAGTGTAGTCTGAAATAAAAATCTCACATTCTTTGGACTGAACCTTTTTACAGTAGGCTTCTAAGACTGTTCTTAACTTAAAAGTATAAAGTAGATGATACATGTACTTTATAGTATCTAACCAACTTTTCCTTCTTACCTTTTCTCAAATAATTCTCTTACCACATTCTTTTCCTGACCTACTCTTCCATATCCTGTCTTTATCTTGCTTAGCTTAAATTGTAAACTCTTTGAACCAGGAAATATCTGTTATGCATTTTTCAAACCTAAATTTACAGTGTAAATAGATAAACCAGTTTTGTGTTTTCTAATTTAGATTTTTAAGATCCTGGAGAGCTGAAATATTGTCTTATGTTTAAAGCACTATATACATGGATGGCATAATGGATAAATGATAACCCTTACATTTGTAAAATTAAGACATAAATTTACATCAATAGAATCCTTGCTGTGGGTAGAACTAGTATCTTGGATGTACTAGATCTGAAGACTGGATTTGGAAGGGAAAAGGTGGTTGGCAAGCATGAGGAAGGAGGCTGTTGTGGATGTAGTGGGGGAGGTTTTGAGTGTGATGGAGTAAAAGACAGAAACCCAGCGAGGGATATATGAAATGAGTTGGTGGGAGTAATTAGAGAGGAAGGGGATATCAGCAATGGGGTTCTTGAATAAATTGGACAGAGGTGCGAAAGTTGATCAGGGATAAAGTTACAGTAGTTGAGGCAAGAGAAGCCAGGACATGGACATTTTTAAGGTTTTTCCAGGGTTTTTTAGCAATGGGAATAGTGAGGTAAAGGATGGATTTTGGTAATGCAGAAGTAGCAGAATTTGTCAAGACTGAATATGAAAAGAATGTTGGCAGAATAGAAGGGTGCTGGAGTTGTCAGTACAGATAGACAGCTGGAGAGGGATTAGGGGGAAAGACCTATGGCTTTGTGGCACTGAATTGAAGATACTGAGACACCTGAAGGATGTCTAAGTGATATCTGTAGATTGAGTAGAGAGAGAGTTGGAAATAATGTCTGGAAAGGTAGTATCTGAAACAATAGGAGGATGAGCTCACTAAGACAAGGGAGAGGGGGGTGGGGGAAAAGGAATGGACCCAGGCCTCAACAGATGGAGAGGAGGAAGATAGACTCCGAGGGTAACGATGACCAAATACTGCAGATTGAGCAATAGTAATAAACAATGGGAAGTGAATACAGCAGTAGACTGCAGAACCTTATTTCATATTTTTGTTTGTTTGCATTTGTACCCAGGTATTTTTAAACTCTTAACCAAGACTTGGAACAATACAGTGTTCAGTTCAGATAGTTAAAAGTAGACTTTCAACTTGTCTGTCTCTTGCAGGTTATACAAAGGATATTTTATACAGTAAATAGGTCTTGGTCTGGAAGAATCACGTGTAATGAACTCAGGAAAAGCAGCTTTTTGCAGGTATTTATGTCAAACTTTGCAAGGTAGATATAACTTCTGCTCATTTAAAAGCTTTATTAAGTTAAATACTTAAAAGGGCAGAAGTAAAGATGGTATTTGTTCTTGCTTCTTCCCAGATCAATGAAGACTAAAGTGCATTGATTCTCAAGGGAGCAATTATTAATACAAGACTGTTTCAATTTAGATTACTATGTTGTTCAGAGCTATATTTGTCTCTCACTTAGCAGTAAGTTGGCTGTCCTTACTATGCAGCTTTCTCTGGCACCTTAGCTTTCAACTCAGTTTATTAAAATCTGCTCTTAGCATGCTATATGGTGCATAAGGTCTTTGAAGATAAAATAATTCCACTGAAAAATTGTTAAAGATGAGTGACACTCATTGATGATATGAGAACTTTCACTTATCCTTCCAGTTGCTGCTGTGACCAACAGGCATCTTGCAGGTTCTTTAATGAGATTTTCTTTTTCCTGATAATAGAATGTGGCATTATTGGAAGAAGAAGCGGATATTAACCAGCTGACAGAGTACTTCTCTTATGAGCACTTCTATGTCATCTATTGCAAATTTTGGGAGCTGGATACAGACCATGACCTCTATATTGATCCAAAGGATTTAGCCCGGCATAATGATCATGGTATGACACACGGAACAACTTTTAACA